AAAAAAACCCTGCGAAGATGACTTCTTTTATCCCTTTTTGAAAGTGATGCAAAATTCTTTGGGCAATGCATTGAGAACTGATGGATGATGTCATAGTGATGACTTATTTCACAATTACACTATCTTAAGGGATCTCTTACCATTCTCCTGCTTTCTTAGTCTTTTAAAAAATCATAGGTGCCAATAATTGACCAGTAATGATGAAATAATTCTTAGGATGATAAAATAATAAAAGTGTTTCAGCATGTTAGAAAAATAAGATCACCAACATCACCTATTGCATCTTAGATTTTTTAAAAGGGCCCAGTGGACTCATGGAAATTGTAAAGTAGAATGAATTTTTGAAAGGCTTCCAAGGAAAAAAAACAGAAATCATGAAGTAGCAGTGCTTACAAATGGTTAGAACTGCTCAGAAAAGAAACCCAAACCTAATGTCCAGTGGACCCTGATGGTAGAAGGTAGTCACGCTTCTACAAAACCCTCTGAAGGAAATCATCTGAAAGGTGAAGATTAACACATGAAGATGCTTATTGCAAAGTTATTTTTATTAAATAGGAAAAAACTTAATTGTGTAACGTAGAGTACAGGTTGAACATCCTTGATCTGAAAATCTAAAATCCACGGTGCTCCAAGATCAGAAACTTTTGCATGCTGACAGGAGGCTCCAAGGAAATGCTCATTGGAGCATTTTGGACTTTGGACTTTTGGATTGGGGAGCCACGATCGGTAGATAAAATGCAAATGTTCCAAAATATGAAAAAATCTGATATCCAAAATGCTTCTGTTTCCAAACGTTTTGGATAAGGGATACTCAACCCATAGTAGGTTGATGATGGCACACCAATATATATCAAAGTCTCACGTTTATTCTCAGAAAGTCTCTAATGATATGAGAAGAGGATCATGATTGAATATTAAATGTAGCTCATTGCAAACCTGTACACATAGTGTGATGTTAGCTATGTGCAATATATACATAGAAAAATATTGGCAGCAAATACATAAAATGTCAGTAGTTTTTTCTGGGTAGTGAGATGACGTGTCATATTTACATTTTGTTATCTATATTTTTACCTTCTAAAATCGGTAACATGTATTTTTTTAAACCAAAGAAATCTTTTTTTGTGGTGTTGAAGCAAGTGTTCTTTTCAGTAGCAAATGTTCTTTTATTGAGACATTTTCTTTTTCTTTCTCTTTTTTTGAGATGGAGTTTTGCTCTTGTTGCCCAGGCTGGAGTGCAATCAAAGGTACAATCTCTGCTCACTGCAACCTCTGCCTTCTGGGTTCAGGCGATTCTTCTGCCTCAGCCTCCCGAGTAGCTGGGTACAGGCATGTGTCACCATGCCTGGCTAATTTTGTATTTTTAGTAGAGATAGCGTTTCTCCATGTTGGTCAGGCTGGTCTCAAACTCCCAACCTCAGGTGATCCACCCACCCCGGCCTCCCAAAGTGCTGATTACAGGTGTGAGCCACTGCACCTGGCCTATTAAGACATAATTTATATACCATACAATTCACCCTTTTAAAGTGTCCCATTCAGTGGTTTTTAGTATGTTCACAGAGGTGTTCAGCCATCACCACTGGCCAGGTACGGTGGCACACGTCTGTAATCCCAGCACTTTGGGAGGCTGAGATGGTTGGGCTGGCTGAGCCCAGGAGTTCAAGACCAGCCTTGGCAACATAGGGAGACCCTGTCTCTACAAAAAATACAAAAAACAGTAGGGTGTGATGGTGGGCATCTGTAGTCCCAGCAACTCAGGAAGCTGAGGTGGGAGGTCGTTTGAGCCCTGGAGAGTGAGGCTGCAGTGAGCTGTGATTGTGCCGCTGCACTCCAGTCTGGTCAACAGAGCAAGACCTCATCTCAATCCCCCAAAACCATCACCATCATCACCATCAATTTTAGAACATTTTCTTCACCACAGAAGAAATTCTGTGCCCATTAGCAGTCAGCAGTCCTAGGCAACCATGCATCTCCTTTCTGTGCCTCTGGGTTTGTCATTTCTGGACATTGCTTATGAGCGTCATGCAACATGTGGTCCTCTGGGGCCGGCTTCCTTCACCAGCATGTTTACAAGGCGAAGCAATTCTCTTTTGTAGTCTAGTTTACTCTTTTTTTTTTTTTCTTTAGAAAGCATACTAACCTTTATTCATTATGTAGTATAATGTATTTTTCTAATTTCCAGAATTGGTTCCTTCCATTATGAGCAACTTGTTGAATCCAGATGCCATTTTCTCAAACAATGAAATGAGCCTGTCGGACATCGAAATCTATGGCTTCGATTATGATTACACCTTGGTGTTCTATTCAAAGCACCTCCACACGCTGATATTTAATGCTGCGCGGGACCTTCTCATCAATGAACACCGGGTAAGATCCTAGGGAAAGTTCAGTTTTCTCCCTCCCCTTCCCCCTTAGAACAGCCTTGAGCTGACATGACTCCACGTCCGGCACAGAGAAGTCGTTTAATACGTTGTTGCTGAATGAATAAGTAGATTTTGTTCCCTTCCAAATTTCCAAGTAACTCCTATCTGGAAGATAGGTTTTTTGTTGTTGTTGAGATGGAGTCTCGCTCTGTCGCCCAGGCTGGAGTGCAGTGGTGCAATCTCGGCTCCCTGCAACGTCCACATCCCAGGTTCCAGTGATTCTCCTGTCTCAGCCTTTCAAGTAGCTGGACTACAGGTGTGCGCCACCCCACCCAGCTAATTTTTAATAGAGACAGAGTTTCACCACATTGGCCACGCTGGTCTCGAACTCCTGACCTCATGATCGGCTGGCCTCTGTCTCCCAAAGTGCTGGGTTGCAGGCGTGAGCCACTGCGACCAGCCTGGAAGATAGTTTGGCTTTTTGTTTTTTAAATAAAACCTTTGGATGTCTTTTGGCAAAAGACCTTCCTAAGACGTGCATTAGTGAAGATTTGGCTGTAGATATTTATACTCTCGTCTTTCACGGAACAACACGATGTCTCCCTGAGCTTGATAAATTGGCAGCCTGTTGAATTCTGGTTAGGAGGAATTCCTCAAACGATAGGAGATGTTTTACCTTCAACACCGATTTGAATTGCTAAGAGTAAAGCATATTTGAATGTCTTTCTTTGGATACATAGTATCGTTGAGAGTTTTTATTGAGGAAGGGAAAAAAGAAAATATGCAACCCCAGCATTTTCTTTTTTATTTTCTTTGAGACAGAGTCTCTCTCTCTTGCCAGGCTAGAGTGCAGTGGCACGATGTTGGCTCACTGCAACCTCTACTTTCCGGGTTCAAGTGATTCTCCTACCTCAGCCTCCTGAGTAGCAGAGATTACAGGTGCCCGCCACTACAGCTGGCTAATTTTTTTTTTTTTTTTTTTTAGTAGAGATGGATTTCACCATGTTGGTCAGGCTGGTCTTGAACTTCTGATCTTGTGATCTGCCCACCCAAAGTGTTGGGATTACAGGCGTGAGCCACTGCACCTGGCCCATTTTTTTTTTTTCTAGTCTGATTTGAGTATACATTTCAGGAAGCAGGATAAGTGGTGTCCTCAGAAGTCATGTGGGCCAGTACCCTTGGAGACCCCGCCCGGGAAGTACAGCTCAGATCTCCATCTCAGACAGGCACACGTTGCTCTGGGAGTTGGCTCTGTTTTTTGAGAAGTTTTTCCATGGGTTGAACAGTTCTGCCTTCATACAGTTTTCACCATTGACCTCTTTTCTTCCTTGATTTATTCCTTCACACATTTCTTAAGTTCCCTTGTGCCAAGCCCTGCAATGCAAGCTGGGAAGATAAAGATGAGTAGGAGACAGGCAGTGCCCATGAGGAACCAGCAGCCCAGTGGTATCATTAGTCATGGAAGCAAATCAATTATGCAGCCTCCTAATGGAAGTCTCCTTAGCCCTCGAATGTATCTGACTGTGTTGGTTAGAACAGCTTTCTCTGCCTGAGGGAATTGGGGAAGCAAAGAAGAAGGTGATACTTCAGCCAAATCTTGAAGGAGTTTGCAGCAAAGGAGGGCTGAGGGTGGATATGAGTAACTTCTAAACCCAAATTATGCAAACTTCTATTTTATATCTAACCGTTTGAGTACTGGATGTATAATGGGCAAGTATCGTATAGACCAGCCTACGCCCTCCAAGACTTCTCTTTTCCCAGGTTGATCGTTCTTAGCTCTCTTAACCGTTCTTGTTTGTCCTCTTTTCATCATCCTAGTCACTTTCCTTTGTGTGTGCTCTGGTTTGTTCCTCTTAAATATGAGGCTGTGAACTGAAGTTGTTACCTCAGGTGGGGTCTGGCTAGAGTGGAATGGAAGGAGACCATCACCTCCCTGGTTCTGGATGCCATACTTTTATTAATGCAGCCAAAGTTCTCATCAGTTTTGGATCCTGACCATTTGATTCAGCATATTTTCTGATCCCCCTCAGTTTTTGGTTATCAGTGGATTTGAGCAACTCATTTTGTCCATATCCAAAATGCAGTAATGGCATTGGCCAAAAAGAAGCTTTCCTTCTGCCACTAAGCCAACAGCTGGCTTTCTTTAGTTATGGCCACTTTATTAGATGTAAAACCCCCCAGCTGCTTGGCATCCCAGGTCTTGTTTGTTCGAGGGACGACTTTCTTCCATCTAAACTGTGGTCCTTTTCCTGGATCCTGGAGATGAAAGCCAACTGAGAATGAGGTGGTTCAGACCTTGCTTCCTGCCTGCCACCCATCTTGTCTGTTCACCACCCCCTAAAAAGTGGAGCCGAAGGGGTGTTACATTGTTGCTGGCATTTTAGTTCCAGGTTAGCTGCAGTGATTTCTGTAACTTTGATGTCATTTATTAAAAGCAAGCCATGATCCCAATGACACTGTTCATTGATTGTCCACAAGCTCCTGAAAGAACAGGTTCTAATGCCTCACTGTCGGGGTTCAAATTCTGGCCTTCATCAGTTACTTCCTACATAATCTGATTGACTCACTCAATTTCTCTGGACCTCAATTTTCTCCTCTGTAAAATGGGCGTAGTAATAGTACTTTCCTCACAGTCACTGTGATAAATGAATTAATATATGTAAAGTAGATGGCACATAGAGAACACTCAATAAATGTTAGCTATTTATTAATACATTATTATTTATAATCTGCACAACAACCCTGCACACACATGTTGTCTCTGTTGTACAGTTGAGGAAACTGAGGTTCAGAAAATTAAGCTACTAGATCAAGGCTGTAGGTCGGTATGAGACGGAACCAGGTTTGAACTCAGGTCTGTCTGTTTCCAGACGACTGTATTCTCTCCTCTACTGCACGTTGCCTGTCTTATGGGGTTACTAACACCTTTCCATCCTATGGTGTTTTTTTTTTTTTCAGATGCAGATAAAATATGAAAATAAAAAATTTATGAACATAAAAAATTTATGAAATTTGAGGGGAAGATAGATGAAATAGATGGATAAAATAAAAACTGCAGTCACTATTATTTGAAATGCCTCTAGATTTAAGATCATTGAAATTTCATTCTCTTTATGTCTGTTCGTTGCTGTGATACAACTAAAAGAAATTATAACAGTTATTTTATCAGGCATATTAGTAGAGTCAATTATACACATTTTTCTCTTGTTCTGATTAAACAAAATAATTCTTCCAAGATGCACTGAGTTCAGTGCCATTTTTCCAGCGAAGACTGATGCACTTTGGAGGGCAGCAGAGATGGAAAGACATCTGCTTTTGAGATGCACAGGCATAGAACAGTAAGTTTGCGATTAATGTCTTTCCAAAAAGCAAACATAAAAAGTTCCAGCTCCTTCATAATTACCCTTTTTTAAAAATAAGAACAAATTTTTACAAAAATGGAAATTTTCAAAAAATTGAGTAATAACTGTTTGTATTTTGATTTTGTCCACCAAGGAATAGCAAGGGAGGGGTAGGAGAGGTCTCAATGTCATCTTTCAGCTTCACACCTTAGTCCACATTTTCTTCTGATTAGTTGCCACCGTTGATCACCTGGTTCTTCATATCCAAAGCATTGGCTGTGACCCCTCACACTCTGTATCCATGTCTGATCTCAGCAAATGCTGTGCTCTGTTTCTCCTTTAAATAAACTTTTGGGATAGTTTTAGGCTTATGGAAAGGTTGCAAATACTGAGTTCCTGTATGTATATACCCAATGCCCAGTTTCCTCCAACTTTAACGCTTGACTAAGGTACATTTGTTACAACTGAAGAACCAATCTTGATACATTATTGTTCACTAAAGTCCATACTTTGTTGGGATATTTTCAGTTTTTACCGAATGCCCATTTCCTGCTCCAGGTTTCCCTCCAGGACACCATATTACAGTTAATTGTCATGGCTTTGACAGCTTCTCCAACTTTCCTTGCTTTTTTAAATGACCATGACAGTTTTGAAGAGTGCCAATCAGGTGTTGTGTGCCTCTTCCTCATGATTAGCCTGGGTTATGGTTTTGGGGAGGAAGACTGCAGAGGCGAAGTGTGGTTTTCATTCCATCATAGTGAGGGCCTCCTAGCCTCCTTCCCTCCTCCCTTCCTGCTCCTTGAACCTCCAAACCCTTTCCTACTTCTGCCTTTGGGACTTGCTGTTTCCTGTGCCCCGAGGCACTCTTTCTTCTCCCAGATGGCCTGAGGCTTGCTCCTGGTCCTTTTTTTTTTTTTTTTCCAGATCCGTGAACACTTGTATTGCATATTCTTGTAGAACATACACTCCGAGGCATTGTATTCAATGTGTGTATTTGTGTATGGTCTGCCTCCCCAGGTAGAATGGGAACTTTGTAGGGGCAGACACCTTTGTCAGTTTTTCTCACTGCCGTGTTCCCAGACCCTGGCATAAAGTAGGTCCTCAGTAAACACTTGATGTATGCGTCTGTGCATTCCGCAGGTAAGTGAGAGAGTTGTGCTTCATGTGGGGCCAGTGCTCTGATGAGTCAATTAAACCTCTTTCCTTTTTAAATTACCCAGTCTCAGGTATGTCTTTATTAGCAGCATGAGAAGGACTAATACAGTCACTCACTGTGGTCTTTGGACCATTAGACAAACAGGGTGTGTTTCTCAGGGGTGGCTCCCGAAGAATAACATTGAGAGTGAGTGGCAAGGGGAGAGTGAGCGTGTGGAGGGCGTGTCCTGCTGGGGAGCCCAGATAAGCTTCATTTAAAGAAAGGACCACCAGACTTTTTGGCAGTACGCACACTGTTATTTATGTGCCAGCAATCAACTAAAATAGTCAGTACTCCACTCGTAACTGCAAATCCTTCCAGCAAATTTGTTGAGCTCCTCTGAGGTGGCAGGTGCTGCTGTGACGGGGTGGCAATGAGTGTTCAGTATATGGTGGCTCAGAGTTGGTTCAGAATTGATTATGTGGTGGGTAGGAGTGGAATTGGATGTGACACAGACCTGGATTCAATTCCTAGCTGTGCGACCTCAGAATTTGCGTGAGGTCCCACAGCTGCTAGATAGTGGTTGAGCCCACTGTCTAGCTGTGGGACCTTGGGCAAATTCCTTGCCCCTGATCTTTAGATTATTCAACAGTAAAATAGGCATGAGATGCCCTGCTTCCTTCATGCTGGTGCAGTGAGGAATAAAAAAAGTCATAGAAAGTGTCTAGTGTGTGGCAGGTAGCAAATGCTCAGTGAAGGCACCTCTGTCAGTGATACATTAAAATATTTCTTTCCTGTCTGTCGTCTCATTCATCCATCAGCCATGAATTGAACAGTAGATTGCAGAGCTGCTGAAGTCCCTTGGCTCCGCTTCAGTAAGCAGATCCAGGGTGCTGGGTGTTGCTTTCTGTGTCAGCTTGTGAAGTATGTCTACAAAAATGCAGGACCATACACAGTGTTCTCAATTCTTGGGAACGCCCATGAGTGGAAATGTGAATTTGGTGATTTCTTGGCACACATGGCAGGTAGTGGATAACTGATCCCAAACGTGACATTTGAGTTAGTGCTTCGTGCAGCTTGACTTGAAGAGTTGCTCCACGTGGGTCAGCCTGGTGGTCCCAGGAGTTGTTGTACAAATGGAACCTTGGCCGTGAAATGTTAGCAGCTCAGCCATGAAAGGAGGTTTCCGGGCATCTGAATAGTTGTCTGGGTTTTAACTTAAGTAACTTGAATCACAATGGATGGTCCTGGTGATGTCGCCTCTCTAGATTCAGGAATAGACTTTCTGTCCTGCAGGCTTGCGCTATAAGGGCAGAGAGGTGGTAGGGAGAGCAGGGGAGAAGGACCCAGCCTGACTCCCCCCTCACCATACCCCAGCTTGTTTCGTTCAGAACCTCTGATGTCCCCTCGGTATAAAATGGGGATGGTCGGGCCTGCTGTGTAGTAGCAGTAGAAATGGTGCCCACAGATGAGTGCCATCAACAGGTAGCTGGTGTCCTAATTCTGAGATTTAGGGAGAGAGGTAAGGACTTAGATACCGCAGTCACTAAGGAGGAGCCATCAATTTTGCATAGCGTGAGAAATGGCTTGATAATAGGAAATACTAGGGGAGCTGGGCTGCTGTATTAGTTCGTTTTCACGCTGCTGATAAAGACATACTCAAGACCAGGTAATTCATAAAGAAAAAGAGGTTTAATGGACCCACAGTTCCATATGGCTGAGGAGGCCTCGCAATCGTGGTGGAAGGGGAAAGGCACGTTTTACATTGACAGCAGGCAAGAGGGAGAATGAGAACCAAGCGAAAGGATTTCCCCTTATAAACCATCAGATCTTGTAAATACGGGGGGAACCGCCCCCATGGTTTAATTACTTCCCACCAGGTCCCTACCACAACACATGGGAATGATGGGAACTACAATTCAAGATGGGATTTGGCTGGGGACACAGAGCCAAACCATATCCGCTGCCTTCAAAGCTGCTCTGAGACAGTGCCAGGCAGTATCCGTAAGCCTCCCTAGGCCTAGTGTGGGGAGTGCTGTGTCTGACAGCTGTGGGGTTCCCTAGCTGGAGGGGAGCAGTGGCCAGCCGTCCAGATGAGAAAAGTATTGAAAGCTCTATGGAGAGGCCCTCCCTCTGAGAAGTTTTCACCTTGGGTCTCTCAATGAAACCTGGTAGTGGGGCCGTTAAGGGGGCTGCCACATTGAGGTGCTCACATGTGAGTTGAATGGATGGCTGACAAGGAGTTTGTGTAAAGTTGTGATTCCAGTATTAGAGGGGACATTCCAGCCTCTCTGCAGCAGCCTTGAAGATAAAAGGAGGGGAGTGATGGAAGGAGGATGAAGCTGATGTGTATGTTACCGGGGTCTTAAGGATCTGGGAGTCTAGGGACACAGGGAGGGGAGGGAAAGAGAGGAGAGTTGAGAGAAGTTGGCGGGGAGGGGAGGAGGACCAGCCTGTGCTTGGGCAGATGGACGGGCGCGGGGCAGGGTGGAAGGCTCTGACCGGGGGTGCTTGCCAGGAGGCACTTGGACTGGAAACGGAGGGACAAGCTGTGGTCTGCCTCTTCTGACCCCCACCTTCCCACTGCTGTATCAACTACCTGAGCCTTTGTACAGGGGCCAGATTTGGACGGGATCTTGCACTTAGTACATTGTTGGCTAAAACCAGTTCCTTTCTTCTTTCTTAGTATCCAGCAGAAATCCGGAAGTATGAGTACGACCCAAATTTTGCAATCCGTGGACTTCATTATGATGTGCAGCGGGTAGGTTTACTTCTGTTTTTCTACGGTTTAATGATTGGAAATAAAATGTACTCTTGGTACTTTTCCGTACTGAACGGGTAAATGAGTTTTAAATTATTTGGGACTGCAGAACCAAATTATTTGCATATCTTTGGATAGAATCTTCTGGAAGAGACTATGTATTAGAAAAGCATGAATGCAATTAGCTATTTAGGAGGTACTGTTTATTTCTAGTAGTCATTTTTGGTGTTTTGAGGAGGAACTAGTTGCCATATCTGTTTTTTTTCTCTGTCTTTTGCGGATAGGCCATTTCTTTAAAGAGCTGTACAGCACATTAATTAACAAGCAACATGTTCCTTCCAGGAACATACAGTGTGTGCTTCCTTGTTAGGGCAGCCTAATGTTGATAGGATTTATGATGACAGCTGGATTGCTCATTTAATATGCAGATAGTTATACGTTATTTACATGTGCATGTGTTTATGTTTTTAAAGGCAGTATTAATGAAGATTGATGCTTTTCATTACATCCAGCTGGGAACTGTCTACAGGTAAGAGGAAGAGGAGATACATTTAATTTACCAGGTGAAGTAACCGGGTGGTTTGGGTTTCAGGACCCACTGACTGTTGAGTGATGAGAAGGGCTGCAGTGTGGATATGATACGTTCATTCATTCACACACTTTTTCAAGAGCATTTGTTGAGGCCTGCTACCATGCTAGGTGCTAAGGGCTTTGTTTGCACAGATGCCCTGAAGGAGCTCAGAGTGTGGGTTAGAAGTCATGTAAGTAAACCTGACTGCAGTTCACAGTGGTAGAGGTGATGATAGAAATGTGCTCAGAGCCTTAGGAAGCAGTCTGGAGGACTGTAGGGAGAACAGGTGCTGGCTGGCAAGTTGAGGGAGGGTCCTGGTGAGGAGATTTGGAGCAGGAGGGCTATGGGGCTGAGGGAACCGGGTTCTCCTTCCCACCATGCTATTTGGGTATTTGGATATTGAGATTATTTTTTCTTTTTTTGCCTATTTATTAGAATTAGTAAAAGTACTTCACTTAGCTCGAAGTCTCTGTAACTTTGTTTTTTTTGAGGTGATGTTTCACCATGAGGTCCAGGCTGGAGTGCAGTGACACGATCTAGGCTCACTGCAGCCTTTGCCTCCCGGGTTCAAGAGATTCTCCTGCCCTAGCCTCCCGATTAGCTGAGACTACAGGCACACGCCACTGTGCCCAGCTTATTTTTGTATTTTTAGTAGAGACATGGTTTCAACATATTGGCCAGGCTGGTCTCAAATTCCTGACTTCAAGTGATCCACCTGCCTTAGCCTCCCAAAGTGCTGGGATTACAGGTGTGAGCCACCACGCCCAGCCATCTTTGTAACTTTTAAAATGGAGGGTTTTGCCTTTTTTATTCTCCAATTTGGAAGGGGATTTAGGAGTGTGCTTTGTATTTAGGTGCACAGCTTATGCTTAAAAGTATGCATATCTTAGCTTCCATTCTTCTCTCGCAAGCTGCTAAAATTAATGCTTATTTATTTGTTTTTAAAATCAAAGTGAAACATGCATTGAGTCAGAGTCAAACAAGATTAAAGGTGTCACGGGGACGGCAGCAATCATTCTGTGTTCCCCTCTGCCCCCAAAAGCTTTTAAGTCTTTAGATTTTTTAAGTAATGTGTTGGTTCTTGTATTTTCTAATTGATTGATTCTGGACATTGTCCCTGCTGTGACAGATGAGGACTTAGCTTTCTGGCACCTCCTCCCACTTCTCCAGTCTCATTCCTCTCATAGCATTCAGATCTCAGGTTCTGGTGGTTGTACCGGTCACTGTTTACATTATGACTCAGAAGGTCTTGTCCGTTGACCTTTTTTTTTTTTTTTTTT